TTGGGATTTGGGATTTGGGATTTTGGCATTTGGGATTTCGGCATTTGGATTTTGAATTTGGGTGGCAGGTATAATATGGAACTTTTGAAGTAGGAAAAGATTATAAAGGAGATAATGGATCAAAATTACTTAAAGAAAGAAGGTTAAAAAGTTTGAAAATGCTTAAAGATATGATAGTAAACTTGAATAATTATGTAAAATGGGAAACAAATAAATTACATCAATTTGAACTAGTTAATTTCATTTATATTAATAGATCTTTTTTAAACTTGCTATAATCTTGATAAGTTTTGTTACAAAAATATTAACTATACTTTTATGTAGGTCTCTATATGATTTTATTATGTATGGATATTCTTGCTAAATATATTTGTAGAGTTATAAGGTTAGATACCTTACAAGTACCAATAAATGTCAACCAATTTGAAAAGGTTCTTAAATATTTAGTTTTAACATGAAAATCTAAAATTAGTATTAATACTTTTGTTATCACATTAATATTAGAAAATTATTTAATATTTGACTTTTCAAATCCTTAGGTAATCATTTATAAAACAATCAATATTATTGAAAAAATATATAATAATAACATATTGGAGGATTTACAAAGAGCTGATATCTGTAAGTATAAGGATTTGATCATTCTTTCTAACTGTATTATGACATCACAGAAAAAGTGAATGGCAAATATGATAAATACTTAATACACTTAATGAATTTATAATATTTCATAGTCTCATAGTAATAAATATTATTTCAAATAAATATTATTTTAAATAGCATGTAGATATAATACATCAGGAAATTTTTTCTAATGAAAACCTTAGAAAGTTAATATTAACATAAGTATTTTGCTATTTTTCGATATGTTATCTTTTGAAGGTCTTTTCTAACTTTTGAAAGTTATCAATTTTGATATTTTTACGTGATAAAATTTTGTGAATATTATCATTTTCATAGTAAATTCATATTAATAAATTTCGAAAATTATCAATTTTGATATTTTATATGTGAAATTTTACAAATATTATCATTTTCATAATAAATTTATATTGATAACCTTTGAAGGTTATCGATTTTGATATCTTTATGTACAAAATTTTGCAAATATTATTATTTTCGTAGTAATTTTGTATTAATAATCTTTGTTTATGTTAGATATTCATAATATATCATTTTAATGATCATCACTTGTATTTATATCACTACGATTTTCAATTGATATTGTATTGTTAACAATATCTTTCAAAGTTTATTGTAGCAATTTTAATTAACATTGTATTATTAACAATGTCTTTTGAAGTTTATCATATCGTTGATTATTGTTTTAAAATTTTTTTCAAAAGTTAATGTTTTTTTTATTTGTATAACAAAATCAGTTATCTCATATGACTTATTATTTACTATATATTCTTTTGTTTATTTTTAGAATAACTACTTTTACTCTTTCTAAATAATTCATATGAAACTCTTCGAAAAGAAATAAATTTATATCTTCGTATTTTTGTTATTGTTATATCAAAATATATCAAATAAAAGGTAATAATTTAAAATATATTTAATAATATTTATTGACTTGCATAGACTTTGTTTTATAACTTAACAAGTAAATAAATATATTTTATACTTTGTTTACTTTCAGGAATATCTCATTAACTTTAACATATACTTATAAAACATTTTGAAATGATATATTTATATTTTCCTATAATTTATTCTGTTATTATATCAAGTACATTAATTTTGTAATACTATTACTTGACCTATGTGATTTTATTTTGTAATATAAGAATATTAATA